TCTATACAGATTGTTTCCCTGGAATTGTCTATTCTCATCTAGGTCCACCAACATCCGGTAAACTTCTCTAACTATCTCCGTCACACTGACATCGACACACACTGTAAGTCGTTGCAAGTAATCCAATTTTAAAATGATTGGTTGGAAATCAGTTGCATGGTCACCTGAAGTTTCATACCGGTCCAAAGCAACAATAAGGTCTTGCAAAGCAGGTTGCAAATAGGGTATTTCGTCCATGTGGATATTAAATACCTGTTACAGCGTCGCAAACTCAAGCTCAGACTTCCATAAACTCGAATGAGAAATTTCCCTTTCGCTTTGTCCCAAAGGAGATACTGGATCCAGTATTTCCCCTGTGGCTTTGTGATGAAGTTAATAATTTATTTTCAAATAATTATGATGAAAGACATCGCTGTCTCTATCCCTACACAGTGTACAGAAGTAGTCAACCTCATTCAACTTTGGGGGATGGGGTGAGGAAACACGAGCCCACAGTTCTAAAATTGTTCTGGTGTCATTTTTAAAAACAGTTAAATTGCTGACCTTATTATTGAAATACAAATTTCTGACTCAGTCAATCAGAAAGTTGTTGATTAACGGTTTCCACTCTTAAAATTTGCAAAAGCACATAACTAACAAAACCATCCAATGTCCATGACATAGAATTTTGACAATTTTGGATTCCACTCTGTGATGATAGTGAGCTCATTTCAAGTGAAATTAGAAGTTTATATAATACATCTGCCTGACTTTCATACTACATTGTTATTGCAGGATTCAAAATTATGCTCTAATTAAAACCTGTGAGATGAGCAAGACAATAATGTTGCAAGGAAGGGGCTATAGATAGAATTTGGTGAAGATGACAAATAATGAATTCCCAGGTGAAACTATCAACCATACCAGAAAGTGTTCCAGTGTAGCAAATGTGGCTGTTGCAATCCTAAAACATTCTGGACCTTTACAATGTGTTACGGATAGTTAGATCTCCCCACCAAAGGGAAGGTTGTCTTAGATATTTTAAAAGAAGAAACTTGGGTAATTGGCACCTGTTACTTATATATATTTCAATGTGCAATGCTTAAAACATATATTACACCCTTCCTTGCTTGCTACCACCGTAAATTTTAATGAAAATCCTCAGCATGTTAATGGGATTAGGTCTGGTAGTATTTTACTTCATGGGGAGCAAGCCATTGAATTCATATATCAGATATTCAAATATAAATGTATTCAAACACAACAATTAGTGAATTGACTTTTTTATTGTCTTAAATTACTTGTTTATTTTTGATACACTAAAAATTAAAGCTTGATGGTACTATATGTCTGGGTAACTCTGAACCAACAGTAATGTACTAATACAATTTGGATAGTTCAGTTTAGGATTGTAAAATTTACTTTCTCTTTTAAGTGGAGTACCTTTCAGAGCTTATAAGTTCCGCATACTCAGAGTCATAGTTTCTAAATGATGCACACTTGCATGTCTGTAGTCTACTTGACTGATGGGTTTTATCAGTTCTATTTAAAGGTGGAAGGACTTCAGGATATGTTTGCTGTGAAATTTGCTTCTGTTGTAACCTGTAAAACCAATCTTTCTATTAATTGTTCCCAACAATAGCCTTTAAAAACTGGACCTAAAGAAGAATTATAATTATTAGTTTCATTCCAATATATAATTAAGAAATATAATAAACATATAGTATTATTGTGATCAAAAGATTTGTTGAAAAATAATTTCACATATAGTCACTTTGATTTATCTTCCACTATATAAATTTGAAATTTTAAAATGCATGTTACCTTAAAAATATGGCAGGTACTCAACAATCACTAATTAACATTAGTTTATGGTGAGTGGTGATCCCATATGACCCATATATGGTTGTTATATAGGCTGATTTCTTGCAGATGTGTTAGATAAAATTTAATACGTAGTTAAAAACCGTCAATCCACAAGTACTGTACCTTCACGTTTAGTTCCATCAAGGAAGATACATACGTCTTTACTCTTCATGACTTATTGGAACTGTTCCGTACATTCAGACTAGCCTGCGAAGCATTGTTATTATAGAATTTTTTTGTGCGCCGGAAATGAAAACTTGATCCCACGCGTGCCAACAATAACACTGATACTTGCCACCATTTACTCGCTCTTCCCAGTAAAAAATTACAAATAGTTTTAAACTGGAGTCAAAATGCGCGCCAGTAATAAATATCAAGGATTCGTACCCCAGACGTGTTGCATCTTTATTTATGCTTCATTTTAAAACATTTGATCGAAGCCATATTCACAAAAATACACTTCAGATGCATCTATTTTAGATATGAAATTGATTCAATGACTGTATCGCTTCTTTTGATGAGAAAATTAGTAAGCGTTGAGAACAATAAAATTTTTCACTCCCGTGCATCGGCCATCTTGCCTGAGTTGTGAACACTAAATATTGCGCAATGTTTTGAAATTGCAAGAATCAAAACAAAGTGCGAGCACACTTCCCACATGCGCAGAAGCGACTGTAACCTACCTTTAACTTCTCTGATCACAATGGCTACTACACTGCATATCGGTACGTAAGCAAATCTGATGATTTGGTCTTCTTCCACAGCACAGGGCACCCTACTTAAGTAAATACACTTTTGACATTGGTTTTATTTAATTGCAGGGGTAAGACTTTAGAAAAGGCTAAGTTATGCATGCTGTGTGGATTGTATCTAGACATCCCTGTTCTGGAATCCAGTGGTCAGAGTGATATGAATACATACCATAATTGGAGTAAGTACTCTGTGGGGTTGCCTGTCGCTTGCGACCAAGTTTATAAATAAATAAATAAAATAAATATGAACCGTTTTGTTGACTTAAGTTTTAATAATTGCAAATACTGTTACTATTTTAAGTAGGAAAAGCATTAGAAGTTAGAACCAAAACATTAAACATCACAAAGGAAAATATATTTATGCTAAAACAATCAATTTTGACACCAGGCAATTTGTAGTGCACAATTCTATGTCCCACAAACCTCTAAGAAATCCTAAAGCAACTTTGTTCATGTGAAAATAATTGCTAATGCGGTTTTTACAACTGTTGCATTGTAAATGGATGCAATGTAACTGTTGCAATGTAAATGTTTACAGCAGACATTGTAGAGTTTGCTGTAGAACAAGGGTGTTGATAGTTTGAGACAGAAAACAACCCTGCAGTGTTAAGATTGATATACAGGCTTCAAACTTCCAAGGGCATGCAGAAAGCTATGTGCTTTTAACAATATATTTTAATTTCTTTATTTAAGCTAATTATGTTTGCACATCACTTATACATTCTGTTTTATAAGAAGGGACCTTATTGGCTATTAGATTAAACATAGTTTTGATAAACTCTCGTGCTTGACAACATTTTATTAGTTTGGAAACGTCTTGTTTTCTTTATACACCCTCAGGCATTCAAATTCTAACAAATAAATCTTTTCAATAACTTGCAGTTTTTTTTTTGTTCAGTTTTTTTGTTCACTATGTTTTTGTATCTGCGTAGCAGATATATTGCTATCATCTTGTTCACTTCCATCCAATAAACGGCTAGTATTATAAAAGATTACGACAGGAATGCTACGATGCCTGTTCGCAGGCTGAACAGTAAACACATGGAAACGGGCAGAGAAAGCAGTGATTGTATTCTACAATCTATAGCTAAGTCCTGATTTTTATCTGTCGTTTTGGCACTTTTTGCTTGGAAGTTGGAAAGGCTTTTGATTTTGTAGCAACTAGCAACGACCGTATATCCTGACATGGTAGGTATTTTAATCATGAATTCTAATATTTTAACCAGTGCGAATGACAGTACTTCCAGTATATTTTGTGAGTTGTATGGATCGATAATTTATACTTTACGAAAGAATCTACCTCTTAAGGCTAAACCACTTCGGAGGACTTATGAACCTCTTCGGATGGCAAAACAACCTCTTCGGAGGGCAAATAAATCTCTTCGGAGAACAATTGAACAGTCTCTTCGGAGATCAATGCAATTAGAATCTCATGTTATTCAGCAGAATCTCGACCAGAAACGTAAGCTTTTACATTCAAGACCTGTCCACAGTAGTTGTATTAAATGTATAAATTCAGATCGCTGTGTGTGTAAATGTAATTATCGATTTTCTGTGAGATCTTGTGCAAGAAAATTAACTCAACCAAATATGAAACAATTTAAAAGAGATTGCGAGCCTTCTAGATTACCTTTGAAGCGAATAATATTAGCTATGAAAAAGAGGAAAAATAAACCACCACTTCTAAAGTGTTACTCGCTCAGGTCTGCACCCAAGTCTTCTACTTTAAACAAACTAGTGGGCAATTTCAAGGAATATTGTTTTCAATTCATGCATACGCAACATACATTTCTTCAGTCATTTGCATATATTAGACCATCCGTTGTTAATATAAGTTCAGAGAAAGCTTAAAATTAGAAAACATTCTTTATGCAATCAATCAATAAACAAAAATAGCAATTTTCTCTGTCAGTATAACATATGTGAAAATAAACTGTTGTTGTCAGGAGATATTGAATTAAATCCTGGTCCTGTTGAAAATACCAACATTGTTCTGCCATCAAATATAGTGTTAGCACAAAGGCTAAGATGCTATCAGTTAATACCATGTGATGTTGATGGGGATGGCGACTGTTTCTTTCGAGCGGTGTCTCATCAGTTATATGGTGACCCTGAGCGCCATTTAGAAGTTACAGCAGTCGGTATTGCATATTAATCCTCAGATAATCCTCAGAGATTCATTGAAAGTAATACTGAAAACTCCTGGTTAGATTATCTTAATACTATGTCTATCCAAGGGGAATGGACAGATGTAATAATTATACAAGCTGTGGCTGACCACCTGAAGTTAAAAATTACTATTGCAGAGACACATGAATTGTTTGGAGAGTACAATATAATACAAGCAGTATCGCCAACAGAGCAATTAACTGATATTTATTTGGGCCATATAGATGAGTATCATCATGTATCAACATTACCACACTCTTCTGCATCTTCTATGTCAGGTGTCTAGGGATGAGCCGATAAGGAAAATTGCCGATTACTGAGGCCGATTATTTATGAGCTGATTATTGGAACTAATCGGCCGATTAATCGGTAGCTGCCGATTATTTAAAAATTAAAAGGAAAAGTACAAGATGAATAACCATTAAGTTGTAAATGCGGTTTTAATGTTTACAATATACACTATTTACAATGAAAATCGGCTTCATTCTCGCATGTCAAATATTCAAAGTTGAGTTTTGGTAGATTATGATGTAAAAAGAGGATATTGTCAGCTTTATGTGGAGCTAGTCTATTGCGGTTTTCAGTTGAAATGTTCCCAGCCTCACTGAATACACGCTCGGAATAAACACTTGAACTTGGTGGACTTAGATACTTCAGCGCGATGCTGAAAATATTCGGATAGGCTTTCTTGTTGGAGACCCACCAGGTATAGGGACACGCTTGTAACGGTTGCAATGGAAGACTGAGAAATGCGTTGACCTCTTCTTCAAGACTTGTAACACACTCGTCAGATGCAACTATCTCATCAAAACACGACCACAGTGCTTGATGCGGACCATCACTGCGGCTTACCGACTCTTTCTCCTTTGGGCTTGACGTAACGGACTCTGAGGAATCTTGGCCAGAATTGAGCTCATCAATCAGCGTAGAACGACCATCATCTTTACAAAACTTTGTTTTGAATCTTGGATCAATAGTTGTAGCCAACACGAAATTCTTGTTGGAAAAGGTTGATTGGAATCTTCTTTCCAAGGCACTGCTCAGCTCATCGCGCATTGTGCGTACTCCAGCTGTCTTCTCGCCGTCATCTCTGCTTAAAAATTTCTTCAACACTGTAATGGCGGGAATCACTTCGGATATGCACGAATTGTTGTTGCTCATCAGCTTAGTGTATTCCTTGAGCGGTTGAAGCAAGCGAAGGACCTTCTCCATCAACGACCACTTGTTGGGCGAAAGAGTTGTGGTTGGTGTTTCAGCAGAGTAGAGTGTGACAGCCCTCTTATTCTCCAACAGCCTGTCCAACATGTAGTAAGTGGAATTCCATCTGCAAAACGAAAAAAAAACATCCATATTGATATTGGTGGTTAATAAATAAAACAAACACTATCGTTTTAAAACATGCGAAACATTTGTCAAGTTTCAAGGTTGTAACATAGGCGGCCCAAAGCCCCAAAATTAGCGGCCGAAAAATTTTTCGGCAATTTGTCAATGTAATGTATAATATATAATTACATATATAATTATGTAATTATATATTATACATTACATTGACAAATAGTCAAAAAAGTTTTCGCCGCCAATTTTGGGCCGCCTATGGTTGTAACGCACACGGCAATAACTTATAATTTAACTCACCTTGTCGCCACATCCTGAATCAACTTTTTCTTTGGAAGACCCAGATCACTTTGGAGTTCTGCTAGCCTGCTACTTCCGAGCGCCGAGTGACGAAAGTGTGTGACCATTTGTTTCGCCTTGGCAATCATGTCGCTGACACTTCTTTGGGAAAAGATGGCATCGCTGATCGCTAACTGCAGTGTGTGAATGAAGCATGGGCTGCCCGTCAAACCGGCCAACTGCACGGCATTTGTCATGTTGCTCGCATTGTCAGTAACAACGATGTGACATCTTGAACTGTCGATAGTCCACTTTGACAACATGCTTGTAAACTTTTCAGCGATTCGCGGCCCGGTGTGGCTTCCGGGGAAGAAACTTGATTGTAGTACGATTGACTGCCGCGGGAACTTTGTTTCATTTTCATCAATCCAGTGGGCTGTCAGGCTAATGAACGCATCGTTGTTGTGGGAACATGTCCAAATGTCTGAAGTAAAGGAGAAATGTTTTGCCTTTTCCAACATTTTGGCAACAGCTGCTTCGGCTCGTTTCACTAAATTGGGAATTACAGCATCACTAAAGTGGTGTCGACTCAGTAAATGATAACGCGGGGCTACATCATGTTTCATCAGATGCATAAAACCCAGATCTTCGGCAATTAGGAATGGTTGGTTGTCGAGAACTATCATTTCACCAATTAGTTTGGTAATATGCTGGGCTTGATGACTGTTCATATCCCAAGTTCAACCGGCTTCAACACTTTGTTCTAATGACATCTGCGTTTTTAGTTTCTTTCTCATCGTCACCGTGCCTTGAGTTCGTGTCTTGTAGTGTTCTTTTACCTTTTGCAATATTCTTTTCCTTTTCATCTGATGAAAGTGCAAGAAATTCCGTCGGATGCTTGCGGAGGTGATTGCGCATGTTTGTCGTGGTGAACTGCTTGCATGTTTTTGTCTCCTCTGCTGATTATAACTCGAGAGCCTTTTTCCTGACAAACTTTACACATAGCTTTTGTGTTGTCATCTTCCAAAATGTCAAAATATGTCCAAACTGCACTTTTTACCGCGTGCGCCATTAGCTTCTGCGAAAATTTCTCGTATTACTGCTAGAAAATTATTTCCTCTGCATTTTATAACAAACATCATGATTTATTTTAGCCAATCAGAAAACACATTATGGTATGACTCATTGCATAGGAATGCAATGCTGAGGCATCGGAATGCGTCGGTGGCTTAACTGTTTTTAATGACTTCCTCAAACACAGATGAGACAAAAGACGTGGGTTTTTTCACTTTTTTGACGCCCGCAACGTGAAAAATTGAAAATCTATTCACTTTCATTCAGTTATTTTATCATTTTCTTGGCAGAAACAGAAAAAGTCTTATTGCCGATTATTTGCCGATTATCAGGCAATAATCGGCCGATTACCGATTATTTTAAAAAAGGCCGATTAATCGGCTTTGCTGATTATTTACCGATTAATCGGCTCATCCCTACAGGTGTCTACGATAATGAGTTACATATTTCTGAAATATTAAATAATAGTAGAAGTGTTGAGATGAACATAAATAAATCTATCAGCAAAATACATGACATTGACAGTTTGTGGTGTGCCAAACAGACAACTAGTGACAATTTTCAATCCTCCACACAAAGTACTGAGTCTAAGCAAAAACGAAAAGTATATATACGGGAGTACAGAAAAGAAAAACGTTCTGAATCAACACAAAGTTTGATATCCAAATTTCATGAAATTGTCTCGCAAAGCCCTCATTATATTTACACTTGTTGTGATCAATTATGGTATAAACATAGTGTTGTCCTAGCTAGAACACTTAAGGAAAATAACCCTGATGTCTAAAACCGACTTTTGAATAAAGTCAGTGTTAACAATCTCGAGTGGTTGTGTCAAACATGTAATAAGCATTTAAAAAACAATAAGGTGCCTTGTGCTATTATAAATGGCATGCAGTTTCCAAAAAAAACTTCATTTTTTTATTTAAATGAATTAGAATGTAGATTACTTGCTCCAAGACTCGCATTTCAAAAACTTATTCAAGCTCCAAGAGGTAAAGAACTCAAAATCAATGGAAATATTGTTAATGTTCCTGCAGATGTTGCTAATACAGTCAGCATGTTACCAAGATTACCAAATGAAACCAGTACAATTAAAGTGAACCTTAAGAGAAGATTACAATACAAAAGTTCAGCTTTGTCACTCAATGTAAGACCACAAAAGGTAGCAGAAGCTGCCAAATGGCTTGTGAATAATGGTAACCTTTATCAAGAGGAAGGTTTAAGTTTTAATAATACTTGGTTTGAAGGCAATTTAAATGTTTTAGATGATAACCTTATTGATGATCCTTCACAGAATTCACCGTATACAGTTGACTGTAATACAGAAAACATGGGTAGTGTTACAAACTCTAATAATGTTCAACAAACACATTCAGATGAGGAAAATCAGTGGAGTGAAGATGAGGTAGAAATACCTGCTTGGGTCACTGACACAATGTTAACAGCCCCAGACTTTGTGACTGATAATGAATGTCAGTGTATTTTAAATATTGCACCTGCTGAAGGCAATAAGCCTATAAGTATATTCAGAGATAAATATTCTGAAGAATTGGCATATCCTGGCAGCATATTTCTAGGGCAGAAACGTCCTGACAATAAAGATAGACAAACTGATGTCCATTACAGTGAAATTTGCAAGTCAGAATTAAGAAGATCTGACAGAAGGGCAGCAATGTGTGTTGAAAATATTTTCTTTAAAGCTAAGAAGTTACAAATGAAAATCCTGCTAGGTCAGTCACAAGTTGCATTGCAAAAATGTCACAGAAATAGTGGCACAATTACAGCTGGTCAACTAAAACAACCAGGAGTGATAGATAGCATGATTAAACATGATCAAGGATTTAAATTCCTAAGAGCTTTGAGCAGTGGCGTGCTGGCCCGTATTCTCCAGGGGAGGCCAGCTGGAATTTGGCGCCACCTTTTGTGCTTGTAATTTTTATATGTGCGAGCGTCATAGACTTATGACCGCATGGTAAGTCATGCAGGCGAATCCCTCGGGAAATTTTGAAATCAATTGTGCCCGGAAAGCCATTTATCGCGTTTTAACTTTTAAAGGTGTTTTGACGAAATATTTAGATCAATAAACTGCAAATTCATTAATACATTAATGGGTATATGGCTAAAGGCATTGAATATAAATCACATAAAAAGTTATTATTGATTAAATTATGTTTACATAGTTTCAGAGTAAAAGACTGTTAACTGTTAATTTACAAAAGTGCTTTTGAAAGTTCTATTGACGTCTTTGCAAACACGTCAATTATACACTCTTTGTCCAGAGAATTTAAAATTCCGCGCTCAACAGCCATCAAGAGTAAGGCTTCCAACCGTCCTTGCAACATAGTTGACCGAATTTGAGTTTTCACTCTCTTAAGTGCTGAGAATGAGCGCTCAGCAGTGGCAAAACTGATTGGGATTGCAACCGCAATCGCGTGTCAACAGCAACATGGAATGTTTCTCGTTTCCACTGAACTAGGGGTGTCTCCTCTGGTTCATCTTCAGCAATCTCACCATCCATTACTTTTTGACACCTCACCCTTGTTTCTTTCCATTCAACAGGACCACATTCATTCTCACAACTTCTGATTATTCCATCTGGATCAATACGTAATCTTTGAAGCCGAGAAAGAGAGCCGTCGATCATAGCTAATGCTTTGCCAAGGTCCACATTAACACTTTGTAGTTATCGACTTAAAGGACCCGTAATCACGAAAATTTCACGAAAAAGATAAGCTGTTGCCCTAATTTGCTTTTTTCCGAAAGATTCAATAAGTCCCTTCGCAGTTCCTCTCCTTGTGCTCGAAAATGAAGTTTCTGCGACAACGTCTTCAAGAACTTTCATAATGCAATCGTATTGTAAAAGAAAGACTTTCAGGCTGAACTCACGAGAATTCCAACGGACTGTATTGATGCGTTTCAACGAAAGGACTTTGAGCTTCTGAGCTTTCTGAACGGATTCAAACATTGAGTGGTTTTTTCAGATTTACTGAAAATGGTGTACATTTTCTCCAGATCGCCAAACAAAGAGATAACCGTTAATGGCAATACCAGCAGAGTCCGATAAGACCAAGTTGAGAGTGTGAGCATAGCATTGAGTGTATACTACATGACTACCGATTTCATCTCTAAAGATTGTTTGCAGCCTGTTATCACAACCACTCATATTTGAAGCCCCATCATACGTCTGCGCAACTATTTTATCAAAGGTAACCCCTCGAGACTTGAATGCATCTACAATGGTGTCGTAGAGCTGTTGTGCAGTGCACCAGGTGCTCGTTGGCAACATAACAAATGCTCCGAACAATAACCAACGCGATCAACTATTCTGACACAAATGCTAAGCTGTTCATGGTGGCTAATGTCAGGCGTGGTATCAGCTATCAATGCCCAAGCTTTGCATTTCTGTATTCTTTTTACTATCTCACAAGTGATCTCCTTTCCGATTACATCAATTATGTTGTTTTGTGTCTTGTTACCAAGAAACATGAGTTTCGAGCCACGACCCTTCTTCTTTTTGGTTGCGTTGGTTCCTGGACGTTTTCCGACCTCTGCCGTTGCTTCATGCGTCTTGCGGACTTTTTTAAGATGGTCACGGATTGTAACATCATATGGAGACAGGAACTTCAACACCTCCAAGAAGTTTCCAACGTTTAACACTTCGCTTGCAAGTGATTCTCGATGGCCTTTATATGCAAGTCCTTGCTTTCCAAGGAGTATTATAGTATCTACGACCCGCGTCATTATATTCCGATTACTAGTAACTTCCACCTTCCTTTGAGCTGCTTCATCCTTTCCTTGTTGTTCCAAGCGTGAAGCGATGGTTTTCTCTTGGAAGAAAAGCACCTCTGCAGCTTTAGCACTTGCATGAGCTGCCAACATCTCGCGGTTTTTCACAACGCTGAGCTGTTTCTTCCAGTTGGAAAATCCGGCAACAGTGAAAGCGTTTCCTTGATTTGCGCATGCTAACTCACCACGTGACAATGCATCAGTAAACAGAAGGCAAGGTATACAAAATAGGCTATCCGTGCTCAATGAATAGGAAATCCATTTTCGTCTTGTGTCATCATCATGAAAAAATACTTGCTGTGAACAGTACCTGCAACGCTCTCCAAATTGCTTCGTTCTCGACTTCAATATCTGCTGATTTGGCTGGCAGGGCTCCATTTTTATTATTTTCTCTTTCTCGTCTGTGCTTAAGTTAAGCCAACGATTGATGCAGGATCAAATGTTCCACTGATTTCGTCAACAA